CATTTTAAAATCGAAAAGTTCACATTTTGTTTCATAACATTTGGAGGTCCAAAGACCGATAAAGTTAGATTATATCATAGAATGGCTGCCATATCGAAAAGAGAAAAGAAAATAATATTCGAAGTCAAACTATTTTCGATTGTTATGAAAAGTCAATGTTTGGACGGGTGAATTCTCATCTGAATGTCTTGCGAAGATAGTTAACGATTGCATTGATATATTCTGAATTCGAATTCTGTCTTCAAACTTCTATCATATAGTTTGTTTGTTATTTTAGATTGAAAAGTTATGTGTCATCTAGGGTAATCGAATGTTTCGCTCATTGATCCGTCCGAGCACATGTGTGCGATGTTTAATTAGTCGAATTCAATACAATAGTACTAGTAAAAGTATGTTGTGCTGCTAAGAATGCTGCAATTGACTCGAAAGTGTTGTTTAGGTAAATCTGAGGTCGATCCGGGTGCTGTGTTTATTCGAAAAGATGTGCAGGATTTGTTAACAAACATTACAGGTTTTGATTTATCGCGAATATTTCGAACACGAACGAATAAAAACCTTGATCGAATCGTTTACAAGTATTTAACTGATAAACAACTCAAAGAAGTACGTATGTATAAGCCAAACATGTTGTCTTTCAATCCATATGGGTTTTTGCTCTAGGAACAAGAGAAAACTGTTGAACGAGGCCGAGCAAAACTTCAGATACCGCCGATTTTGACTGAAGCCAAAGAGAATGTGGAAATTCTGGAGAAAGATGAAATGTTAAGTGGATTTTCGCCGAGTAAACATCTATTTATTGACATCTCACTTGGAATACCAATACGAGTACGTTGTTTTGTCGATCGGGAGAAGAAATAAAACATAGATTTTGACGGCATTTAGGATCGTTTGATTATTGCACGTGATGTTGATGGAACGTTACGAACAGCGACATTAGATGAAAAGCGACGAATGAGACAGATTTACTTTCCTATTTCCGGAAGAGAATTGGTTATGCCAAAGATGTTCGAAGAAGAACAACTAGAAGTAAAATAACTGATCTAGACATAATCTCAACATCTCACGAAACGTTTCTCTGCAGAAAATTTTAGAACGATGTGATTATCAATTGATACTCGATCGTGCCTGCGTTCAATTCGAACCGGACGAACCAGAATACATACGTGTAAGTTGTTGCTCGATTCAGTTGACGAATGTCTTATGAGAAGTTATTTAGGTCACCCACAGAACATATGAACATATTGATAAAACGAATTCTTACGATGTACTTCGATCAACACGACATTTTGGTCCGATGGCATTCTACTATGTATGGTTTAAAAAAGTTGATCGACTTATGAGCGACATGTTAAGCAGGAATTTGTAAGTTATGCTCTTGAATCAGAAGTACATTCATAATCTCAGACGTCGTAAACGAATTCTTCTAATGCAAAAATTTTTAATGAATTTTGTTGAGAGGAATTTATCATCGGACTATGTCACACATTGAATGGAGACGATTGTTTCCTGTAAAAGCTAAATCTATTTAGAATTAATGATGCTGTTTCATTGCTTCAACTCTATGCAATCATTCATCCGGATTCTAACGTTGCGACGTATGAATTTCACGATACGAATCCTCATCGGCTGATTGAAGTATGAACTTCACGACTTAATTCACTACAAATTATTTATTTTGTCGGTCTTTCAGGCATTTATTGATGATGAGGCGCGGATACCTGATTTACTCAGCGAAACCTTCCGTCAATATATTCGGAAAAATCAACAAGCGGTGAAGAATGGATAATGGATTCTTTTCTGTTTTGTTCTTTTTCGATTAACACTAGCAAGAAAATCTAAACCTAACGTGTCGTTTTTCTCTCTCTCGTTCTCGAATACTTCTGTTCATACATGTTTTGTTTTCAGATCTACGTGTATTTAACATACATACACAGATAATTTATTCATCATGGTTCACATGAATGTTCTCGCAGACGCACTCAAATCAATAAACAACGCTGAAAAACGTCATAAGCGCCAAGTTATCATTCGACCATGTTCAAAAGTCATCGTCAAATTCCTCACTGTCATGATGAAACATGGTAAAACTACGACGAATGCATCGATTCGGTTGACTTTTACTTGTTTGTCATAGGTTATATTGGCGAATTCGAAATAGTCGATGATCACCGAAGTGGTAAAATAGTTGTTAACTTAAACGGTCGATTAAACAAGGTATGATTACTCGAGATTTAAAACGAACGTTAATTTCTTTCCATTCCAGTGCGGTGTCATCAGTCCTCGTTTTGATTGTCCAATTCGTGATATTGAAACATGGACAAAGAATCTTTTACCATCACGTCAATTTGGGTAAGAACTTTCATTCCAATGTAATTCCATTGTTGACTGCAATTCTTCTAGATACGTCGTTCTAACAACATCACATGGTATATTAGATCATGAAGAAGCTCGACGAAAACATACTGGTGGTAAAGTTCTCGGATTTTTCTTCTAAAATCTTCGAGATGATTCAATATTCGATCAACCAACAAAATAAAACAATAACAACAAATCGATTCATTTTGTTTTGGTTTTGTTATTGTATCAACAAAGAATAAAAAAATAAAAAGAATCCGAAAAAAAAAACTATACGCATATAACAAAATTGTTCTCTTCTATTGTTCATGATATGTGTCAAGTGGACAATGAACACTTGACAAAGAAGACTATTGTCAGTAGTAATCGATCTAATGATAAAATATTTGAAATTTATTCGACCAGATCGTTTCGTATAATTACAATTTAATGAACACACCTTCCGGCTTATTATATAAGTTCATTCACATATGTTAAACGCGTGAATACAGTTTACGAGAGAGGTAATAACAGGGAGAGGAAAAACAGATCATTCCATTACTTTCTGTTTTGTGGAGAAGAAGAAAAAAGTAGCCGTGTCATTTCCGATGATAGAAAAAGTATGGAAAGACATGTATATACGACGATAATTTCTTCTATCGAACTGCTTTTTTTTGTGCTTTTGTATATGATCAATCGTCTTTATACGCATGTCATTTGGTGTATTGCCGACATTAGTAATCATCGATCAATATTCCTTACATTTGTTCAGAAATGAAGAACGAGATAAACTTCATTACTTCATCATCGTATCGTCGTTTCTTTTTAAAGAATAAATATTAACTTATATAAATATATCTTTTTTCATTATCTCGAAAAAAAAGAAAAAGTTCTAAATTCTTCGACATAATAGACATTCATGACAAGAAAATGACTAAATTATTTCTATCGTGGGTAAGTGAAAAAGAATGGCCCTAGAAATGTTTCTCACTCTCATTTCCGCTTCGCTGGTGATATAGAATGAGGAGAGCAAGATAATGGGGGAAAAGTCAGTTTAATCGTCTTCTTTCTCTCCTTTTTCTTTTCAAATACAAGTAAATCTTTCCACACAGATATAGTACTAATCCATATTAAGAGTAAGAAACATTGTATATGTATATTTACTCAACACACTTGTATTACTTCAATGGATTATGCACGAACATGATTATTAGCATATAACAACAAAAGTCTGCCGAATAAGTACAAGCTTGAAAGAACTTCGTTTTCTCTTCCTCTCGGTTTGATTCTCATATTCGATGATGAGTAGATATATCGCTGATTATATAATAGGTATGCTGAAGAAGGACAGGCGCGTTTATATTTATTCTTGATATATATGTGTGTATATAAATGATCGTATTACGGTGTGATAAGAAACATTTATCCAATACTATTGACAACTTTGTTTATTTTTAATACCGAATTATGATTATCGGACGGACACATAAGTGAGATTAACGAGTAATGATTTTATCGAAAGTCTAAGTGATTCAATTACAAGCATGCTGAGAATTGCCTCGTAGTATCTTCTTTCTCTTTAAGTAACTGTATTCGATAGACCCCTAATCTCAGGAGAAGTATTACAACTCCAATACACTTATATAAGACGACTTTTCACATGTAATTAACTTGCAAGGAACAGAAAGCAAAGTGGAAAGAAACGCAAGTTTACATTATAATTGTGACATTTTCACGTTTCTATTGTTCGAATTTATGTACTCGTACAGACATAGACGTATAAACACATATGTACTGATAGGCATAGTAATCAGAGACATATATCGACTGAGAGCAATGACGATGACTCTTGTTACTCGATACAAACGACAAACATACATAAATATGATTGTATTAGTCGTTGTTCGATAAGGATAAGTATAAACATGACACATGTGTAGTGAAGAAAATGAAAGCGAGAAGTACGAATTGTGTTTCTGTCTCACCGACAATGAAACCTTGTCGATTTCTTTTCGTTTGCATTCAAATAATAGATTTTTCCTTTTTCTTTCACTAGCTGATAATTAAAAAACGAGAACTTTTTCTTCTTCTTATACTGTTCATCAACATCTTATTCGTTCGAGGAGACATGAGAAGAAAAGAAAAGAAGAACGGTATGTCATTGATTAATTCAAGTACTGAGCTCATTTGAGCATGAAGTAAAAGTAACGAAGATGAACTGTCGTTCTTCTGTTAAATTAACCGTAGGCCTATGTGGTGACACAACGGATCTATTCTAATCAGTACGTTTTTCTTTAATACAAAGAGTAAGACTCTTCCGCTTTCTTTTTTCTTCCACTCTTCTCTCGGATTTTCTTTTTATATACTAAACATTCAAACTACAAAGAGCAACATACTGATCGGTCGACAACGGAAAAATTACATGACATTATTATTTTCTTTGTTATCGTTTTCTTTCTAAATTGCGTTTTATGTATGCATATATGTTAACAGATCAATGAATTGTATGTCATTAAACTGTTGATAATGCTTTTTTTTTCTCTTTCGCTCTCTTTCGGAGCCTTTTTTTTTCATCGCTTTATTTTGCAGATCCTTATGCTCGACAATGTGATCGAACATTAGTTTGCATAACTGATCTGTATGCGTAAACTTAGTTTCATTTTACAATGGCATTGTATACAAACGAAAAAGACTCGATTCGATCGTCATCATCATCATCGTCGTCGTCGTTGTCATCGGTGCTAATTGAAGATCAGTATTATCGAAGAAATTCGTTGTTATTTTCATGTTGCGGTTGCCATCGAACACGACAAATAGTAAAAGTTGAAGATAAACCGAAAAGGAACAGTCTACAAAATGGATTCTTCAAACGGATTCAAATTTTCAAAGGTTTACTACATACGGATGAATACATTTCGAGTATCTATTTGTTTTTCACTTTAGCACAAAAGCGGCAAAGTTCAGTTCGTAAACAACAAATCGGAACACCAGTTTCCAACCATCAATTTGCTACTGAAATAGAAAAAATCTCCAAAGAGAATGTGGAAATTGAGCCGATTCAAACTGGTCAACCGAGTTTTGATTCCTATTCATTCGCGGATATTGAAATTGGCTCATCCATTAATGGTGATAAGTATCATCGAGCGTTAAGTGCTACACCCAAAAGTATTCCATCACATAAACGCTCTTCTATAGCAACGAATCTATCAGTATATTCAAGTCAAACACTACTCCGAAAGTTACGTGACAAAGCTCATATTCTTGATGAATACTATCATGATGTATCAACTAAAATATCTCAACGTCCTGTAACGTCACTTTCGTCGTCATCGTCATCACTTCGCGAACCATCTGGCGCAACGCCACGCTTATTTCTTCACCATAATCGTTCGAATGATAGTATAAGAAAATCAACACGAAGAAACTATCGACAATTATATAGTACTGTGTCGTCCAACAGCTCAAGATTTGACTTATATAACGATGAAGATAATATTTTACGAGAATTAATACGTTTTAACAATGATATCGATCTGATTCTATCGCGTTTGGAAATGGAAGGTGAAAATCTACCTCAATTACAAACCACGGATTTGATTTTATCGGATAAAGATGATCAAATTCAACAGTTGAATGTCAACCCAACTGAGGATTCGCATTCAAATTTCGATCTTCCGAGCAACACTAATCCGTACGTTTTTGTATCTTATCTCTTCGCAGAGCGAATAGTCGTGATGATAAATCGGTAAAGTTATCTGAGAGAAGAAAAACATGTCAAAACTGTTAAATCAATATTTGTTTCTCATTGACAAGCAATCAAGAGAAAGAGAGAATTCATTCGAAAAATCATCTATCTTGAGTATCAGTTGTCATCAACAACATTATTGACGAGTGTTTTAACAGAAATGAGTAAATATAAATATGAATAACCTGCAGCGATGTAGAAAAGAAATACTTCAGCGAGAAAAATGAACTGTGTTATTCAATAACTGACACATTCTCTTCGTTTCGCTCATTTACTTGTTCTACTGACGTGATCTTTAGTCACATTAGTTTTCTCTCCAGTAAACTTCGGCAGCCTTGCTATTGGATATCTCTGAATAAGTGTAAAGATTTTCTAGGTCGATAATCAAACATGTTATCCAAGGTTAGTCTTCTCGCTAAATTTTATCATGACTATCTTTTCTTTTGTCATGAATCAATAAGAGATTCATTCTGAAAGGAGAAAAGTAAGTCGTTTTCTATACGTGTTATTTTCCAATTAATTCAATGGAACACTACAATGAGAGAGAGAGAAAGAGATATGATATAAACAGTCGTTGCTGAGCCACATTTTGACTTAGAAAATTATATTATCATAAAGCATACATTCTCAGTTATGGTAATTTTTTTATGTTATTACTGTTGTGCGAGTCGACAACGACGAATTTGAAGGTAATATATGCCATAGACAACGACCTCAGTTAGACACGTACGCACACATGTACATAACAATTTAGGTTTCTCTCTCTCTCGCTCGCTCCATGGTGCTGATGACGTCTTTCAGTTGATCGGGTATGCGTGCGCAATTGTTGCGTCATCGAGATCTGTCGTCAGTCGATAAAGAATGATGGAACAAATTTTCTTTTTTTTTCTTCTTCTCTCGGACTAATATTCTCGATCATCAAGATGCTTCTCTATGCAGTCGCAGTAGAACTGTTCCATTTCGAAGAGTTACTCTCATTGATCAAGAGTGGAATTTTTTTCTTGAAATGTGAATTCCTGTCCTTCGTGTCTGCTCCGCACTCTTTTCACGAGATAACCTTCGAAAGATATGAATCCAGAGGCCTCTTTCTGTCTGAACAAACAAGGTCAATTGTTCGATGCAATCAACGGTTTTCTTTCTTTTTTTTTTCTTCTTCTTCGAATTAATTTTTCAGTCGTGTTTGTAGTTGACATTCGATATCGATCTTCGTTTGATTTCAGAGAGGAAGAAGACGAACTTGATCAAACTACTTCAAACGATATTCTGACAATGCGGACGAACACGAACGAATTGAACATTCATTTACTTCTTTCAAATGATATCGACCGGCTACGCGAACTAGGTAAATACCAAAATAATCTTCGATCTCAGCTATTCTTCGCTTTTCCAGCACTCACAAACTTGTTGAAGATGACCGCGCAAAGCTGTACATCGGACATTGTACATAATTACGAAACGATGTAAGTGCCTATGACTTGATGATGCGTCTAATTGCGAACATTTAATGTAGAACATTAGCGAAATTGAATAAACTGCCAAAGTCAACAACATGGAAAGGAAAACGTGTCTTTGGTGTCCCATTACGTGTATATCAACAAACAACAGGTCATATCCTACCCATAGCGATAGCGGACGCCTTACAGTATATACGTGTCCATGCTGGCAAATGTGACGGGTTATTTCGTAAACCGGGTGTCAAGTCGAAAATCGAACGTTTACGGTCACAAATTGAATCGTTGAATGAATCAAACAACGAACATGCATTCGATTCAATCAAATTTGATGAATATCAACCGTACGTTGTTGCAGATACGATTCGACAGTATTTTCGAGAATTACCCGAATGTCTCATGCCACCAGTGCTAACACGATTGTTATGTGATTTACTCAAACGTAAAGAATGTCAATTGTTATCGTTCGATAAGATGAAAGGAATGCCTTTTCTGCTTTAGATCTCTCACAAGAAGAACAATTATTAGCAATACGTTACATATTCTTAGTATTACCAGATGAAACTCGTGAAATATTGGAAACAATTCTTCGATTTCTATTAGATATATCCGTACGATTAGGAAACAACCAAGTAAGTGTAGAATCATATAAGTTCGGATTTTATGATCGTGTGTGCCATGTAGATCAATTGTCGCAGTTTAGCACGTATTTTTCTTCCATCTGTCTTTCAATCGTTCTACGACATACATCATACGTCATCAAAGCTTCTTTGGTGGAAGTGGAAAAAGGAAAAAACGGATGGAATCTCTCAAGAAAACGATCGTTTGATCTTAGAAAACTGTCTAATGACAATGATTCTCAATGTCGATATTCTATGTCGGGTAGGATAACCAATCAGTTTCTGCTTTTTTTCCAATCGACACTGTTTTGCATGTGTACATATAGGTTCCAAGTGCACTTAATGATGAACTTAACTTGCCGTCAGCAAGAAAAACAAAACGACTTGATGAACTTGTTCGTCATACATGTAATGGCGAATTCCATATAAAGAAATTCGTATCGAAAGCTAGTGAACAATTTCTTCAAGTAAATCAACACATGTCGAAATTGAAAAATAACATTTTGTTCTTTAGCGTATATCGACAACAAAATTCAAAGCTATTCCAATTCACGTCGATGGTGTCAGTGTAGCAGTACATAAACCATCGGCAATGTTATCAAATGCAGATGAGAATAATTTACCAATATGGAAATGTTCAATAGATATTCCAGATACCAATGTTAAACAAGTCTATGAGAGAATCGAACACCATCGATATCTATGGGATAAACATGTGGCAGAGAGTCGAACAGTAGAGAAAATTGATGAAGATAAGGAAATAGTGCAATATGTACTTAATTATCTTGATCTCATTCCTGTTCGATCGTTTTGTGAATTTCGGTAATTGCTTTCTTTCTCTCTCTCTCTCTCGGACAACTACATTCGTATTTCGATTTCCATCTAGTTTTTCAAAAAAAATCACATCGCGGTCAGCATCTAATGCCAATGCTATGCTCATAAGCGCTGTATCTATTGATCATCTACAAAATCACTTTCTACCTGGTAGTATGGGTGTGACTTATAATATGCACTATTATATAACGCCGTCACCTACACAACCCGGCCATACAACAGTGACACAAATCGCTTGTGTTGATTTCAGGTTTGGATAAAGGGACAAATTGCAAAGATGTTTGCACTACTTTTCTTTTTCAGTGGCCGATCCACACAATGGTATGAGAATGTCTATGGGTTTTTATTAGCACACAATCTTTTATCATTACGAAATTCGTTTTTGAATACAAATACTGTTCAAATTTGAAATCTTTTCATTATCATTCCTTGTTTTTTTTTTCTTCTCGAAAGACAAAAGAAGAAAGTATCTCTTTCTTCTTTTTTTTTCTTATTAACAAAGGATTATCATTGTATATGACTGAACTCCTGACAACCATATAATCTCTCTACTTGACTCAGGATACCGTCCTTAATCATGATCTTTATCATGACAAGAAAAAACCATTAACAACAATAACTATCGTTCATTTTATACGCATTTATCGTTTTTTTTTGTTGTTGTTCTTATTTTTCTCTCATAAACGATTTTGAATGTCAGTATACAAAAAGCAAAAGAACAATGAAAAACTATTCACATACACAAAACAAATAATACTTTGAAGAATATTCGTTGAAATCATACACACACACACACACACGCGTGCGGAGGGGATAAACACAACATACTGGTGAACTAAAACTTTCAAACAAGAGCCTCCTTTGTTTCGTTGTATTTAATGATACACCACTGTTTATTCTTTGGACTTTGTTTGATAATTTCCAGTGGTTTCGTTCGGAGACTTCGCCGTTGATAAGCTGCTGCGGAAAAGCTTTTCACACTATGTCGTAAACTACTAAAACGACGCAGTGTGGCCGGTGGTGTTTCGGGTGGTTTCAATTCACATATGATTGGTGTGGCCGTGTGGTGGATTCGTGTTAAATCATAACAGGCAGATCGTTTGCTATAACATGTACCCATATGTTGTTTTTCTCTTTTTTTTCGAACTGCTCAGACAGAACTAAAGACAACAGATGAGAAACTTAAGAAAATCGGAGTGATAACAGAGGCGTACGTACTGTTGTTGATTATCAATCATTATCACGAGCGATTAGGGTTTTAATAAGAAAACATGTGACCGATGTATCTTGTCGTTTGTCAAGGTCACTTATGTCGTATGGAAAGAAGAAAAAGTGAAAGCATGCGCGCACACACTACGGTCAACAATAGCACCTTTGATTGAGAGTGACCGAACGAAGAAAAACACCTATTCTTATGTTCCTTTTTTTGTGTTAGAAGGAAGGAAGGAAGGAAAGAATAGGAGAACGAAGATGACCGAGTCAGAAGCAGCACATTTCGACAAAGAATGAAAAAAGATTTTTCTTCCTATACAACACCTGCTTCAGACATGAGCTGTGTACACATCTACTCAAGCGATATCTTTATCTAAATTCGATTTGAACATAACACTCATTACGCAAAGTTCGTTCGATAACACTTATTAACGACGCGATCTTTTGTCTGTCTGACAGGACATGAGCAAATATCAAATAACTCGAACATGCACGATTGACATACATAAATACACCTGTTCGTCGTTGTTTGACAAAAGAAACAATTAACACAAAGTTAAATACATGAACATTCTTGTGTAAAGATCAGAAGTTATCACTTATCTATTAGTTTGAATAATTCATGACGTGTATCGCTAATTAGAACAGAAATGACGAGTCTCGTTCATGATTGTTCGAACTGCCTTCATGCACTTTTGACAACACTATTATAAAGATCTTAATCAATTCTGATTCACCATAAAAGGACAGATAGACCTTATTTAACCAAGATACAGACTAACAATCCTTGTTAACGTGGAAGGTGAAGTAGTCTGTGCGTCAATTTTTTCGTATTGATAAAGAACAACTATGGAAAATTTATCGTATCTCGTAAAAATACAAAGAAACCGTATAGTCAATCATCAGTGATGATGATGATACTGTTTTCTTTGTTCGTGTATCTAGTTTGTGGTCTAAAAAAATAAAAAACAATCATAAAAAAAATAGCCACATTTGAAAAACCTGAATGAAAAATAAAGAATATGATCACTGTAACTAATTAGCTGTTGACGATTCACTGGTTGTTTCATCGATTTCCACAATATGCTGTTCATTATCATTCGGTTTCATGTTGTAATCTCCAACATTCGTCACAATTTCTATTTCTTCTAAAATCCGTGTGATCGGAATATCGACAGCTTTCGGCAATGTTGTTTCTGTTGGTTTGCTATGAGAATAGAGACTCTGAGATGTATTGTAGAAATTACTATCCCTCGGTTTTTCATGCTGGAATCTCGATGAAAATCGATTGGTAGATGAGTAAAACTTCGGCTCGGTTGGGGTCGGGTCCTTGCGTTCTTCGGCTTTGGCGTTATTCGCAGTCATTGTATTGTATTCGTCAGTTATGTTATCTACGACCGGTTTCATTGTACCTTCCAAGAGATTTCGATATGTATCAATTTCTTTTTCTAATGACGTTTGCTTGGAAATGACATCTTCATAATCCTGAGTGGTTTTTTCGTGCTGTAATTTAAATTGATCGATTTGATTTTGTTGTAGTTTCTCGACACGTTGATTCTCGTCAGTCATTAACTCGACTTTGATTTGAACTTCACGGATGTGTAGTTTCAAGTCAGCTGTTTTCTGTTTCAATGCGTTGATATCTGCTCGAACACGTTGTATCTCCAAACGTACGCGATCTTCTTCTAATCTAATACGTTCTTGTTCGCGTTCGTTCATGAACAAATATGCTAAGTCCGAATATTGTCGTACAATACTATCGTACGATTGACTAAACTGAGTATAGAGTTCATTTCGATGTGTATCGTTTTCTCTTTCGAAATCTTGCCTAACGCGTCGGATTGCATTGGACAACTCCGATTTGAACACATGTGCACGATCGTTTGTCGTGTTCGAACCGGTCATTAATGCTGATTGTTTAACTTCTTTTAGTTTCTGCTGTTGCTGCTCACGTAAACGAGCAATTTCCGCGTGTAATTGCTTCGTTTTTTGTTCGGCTGATGCTCTAGCCAACGATTCAGTATGAATTTCATTTCCAGTTTGTACTAGAAGACGTTGAATATGAGCGGTCAATTGTTTCCATTGGTTTTGTTCGTTATCTTGATGAGCGAGACGACGCTTGAACATCATAATATCGCCTTCGATCGATGAGAGCTGTCGTTCAACTTTCTCCGTGTCGTATTTGGATGCATCGCGTTCGCGGAATGTTTGATTTAACTGCTGTTTCAACGGGAGAAGCGTATTCTGAAAGAAATGCGAGAGTGAACGAGTAAACTTTTGCAAAAGAAGTCAACGAACGTGTGTTGTTTGAGCGATTGAAAACGTATCGTTTTTATCTTTGAATAATTGCTCTGCTGCTTGTCTCAATTGAACGATTTCTGTCTCGAATTTTGATTTGATCTTTTGAGTATTCTCTTGTTCCTTTTCGGTGAGAAGATTCGCCTCCATTTGGATCTTCTTGTTCTGAGCTTCCAAATATCGAACTTTTTCAACATAATCAGCGAATTTATCGTTCAATGTTGATAATTCAAATCGTTCCTTTTCACGTGCTTGAGTGTACAACGGTGGTTTTGTCATCATGTACGACGAGTTGCGATACGTTGAGGCCGACATGGAAGCTGATTGATTTTCAAAGTGATTTGAGTCGACAAATGAAGGCGAATGTAAACGAGAAGATGTATAAGTATTGTTGTTTTTGCTGTTCGTCGATGTTTGCGGAACACAAGTGGCTCCTAATGATGATGATGATGATGATGATGATGATGATGATGATGATGATGATGATGATGTCGATGGCTGAGACACTGGTAAACTATTCTTAAGAGTTGACAACGAGTATGGCAATGGGAGGAGGCCGAGAAAAATGTTGCTCGGCACTATACCTATTATTGGAAAGAAAAGAAGAAAGAAAGTAATCTGATAATGCAACTTACAAAAGCGAATGTGAAAAAAAAAATTGTCGAGTAAACCTTTTTTTCTCTGTTTTAGAAAAATACAAGAATCTCCAGCACTGCACTTTATTATTGTCCTTGAAACTAACACTTGTACAGAACGAACATTAAAAGAAAATGTTTATTCTGCTTGTTTTTCTTCGACTTCTTTCTATTTCTGAGATCAACCGAAAAAAATACAGGTACTTGCCATTACGTAGTAAATAATACGTATGTCTATGTATGCAAAACAGTAGATTTATATTGAATTACCTCGAGATTCATCATAGGTATTCAAGTTATTCTTGTTATTTATCATCCCATCCATTTATTGATAGACAAAGCTGAAAAAGAAAAACTAAAGCGAACAGCAAGTCGACGACGAAGTTATGTCTGTTGATTTTTCCGTGTGGCAGTAAATTTAATCATCTTACATGAGATCCTTTGCAAACATATACATACTTGATAAATCGTCTTATCTATTGTTGCTTTTTTCTTTACACTCTATTCTTGTTGTAGTACATGCAGAAACACAAAAGAAGCGAAATTTCAACGCTCTCCGTGGTTTATAAATGCAAACCAAAAATGTATATGGGTTTTATTTTTTTCTCTCTCTCCGACGTGTTTTTGTTGGAAAGTCATGTAAGGTAATAATGCATACAGATAACTAATAATTATAATTTCGAGCGCGAAAGTTGTGTGAATAGACGCAAAAGATCACCTAGAGGTGAATTCATCGTGCATGCTTTTTTTCTACTGGAGAGATTTTCGATGTTGCTTTGTACTTTACTCCGCGAAGAGTGTGTGTGTGAGAGAGAGAGAAAAGTTCGTAAGATGTACATATGACGCGCGAAAACAAAAGGGATTTTGTTTCCGTTCGAAGAGTTGATAGAGAAAAGTTTTTGTTCGAACGAAAAATTGTTGCTTTTCTCGAAGATATGTTGTACTGTTGAAATCCCGGCAGAGGTCGCTGATATCCAAACCGGGTGCGCAGATCGATCAACATTCGATCGTTGAATTTGACCAACGGATGAAAGGCTTACATTTCTTCTTCATTCATTCATTCGAATTGAAAACTAAGAACGAGTATGGCGAAACCTTCGAAGAAATCCGGCAAACCTAAATCACGTTCGAAAATGACACGTGAAAAGAAAAAGCCTCAGCTTGGCAAGATATCTAAACAAGAGAAAAAATTTCATCAAAAAGTGAAAAACCATGTTCCATTGAAGAAGAATAACGCCATGTATCAAAAGCATAAACCACAAAGCAAACAAATTCAACAGAGTTTACCTATGGAGAGTGATATTATCGAAGATTATGATGACGACGAGCTTATCTTACCATTGGATATGCTTTCGGACGAAGAAGATCAACTAGGCAATGCTCAAACCGATGATGAAGATGATAACGAGCAGATTCTAGCGTATGAGCGTATCCCACGCCCATCGTTTAATGATATTAATCGACAACGGCCGTTGTTACCAATTAAAACCGACCGTGGTCAAATCATTGCTCAATCGACACCCATTGTCGACGAAGAATATCCTGATGAAGAAGAAGAAGAAGAAGAAGAAGAAGAAGAAAAGCCGGTTGAAGAGGAAACCGGCTCTGCTGAACCAAAACCAGTAAAACCCGTCTCTGTCGTTGAATTACTTGCTGAACGTGATAGAAAACTCAATGAAACCAAACAAACCATTGTCACCCTATGCGACTTGATCATGAAAAGTCCGTACGAAGAAATCTCAAATTTAAAACAACTACGTGCATTACTTAACCTTGGTGATCCATTGATATCGTTGACCGTACGGAAGTTAACCATGCTCTCCTTAGTGGAATTATTTCGTGATATCGTGCCTGGTTATCGTGTGCGTTCGTTGAAAGAACAGACGAAAGAGGATAATGAAGAAATGAAGAGTACGAAGAATAAAAGGACTAGTCACAAAGAAAATCTATCGAAAGACGTGAAAGTGATTCGTCATTTCGAACAAACTCTAGTGAAACATTACCAATTTTTTCTTCATTTTCTGGAGCAATGCGCCAAGAAAAACCTTCCCGATAATCATCTCGCTAAAAGCAAGCACAAACAGTTGAAAACGATCGAATCGCCCAAGCTCAGTCTCGGACATTTAGCTATTCAATGTCTATGCAAACTATTAACTTCTCTACATCATTTCAACTTTCGTACCAACTTACTGAATGTTATTGTTCAGTATATGGCTAGCCAGTAAGTTAACCCACTTGAAAAGCAAATGATAGATCAACTCTTCTGTTTAGCGATCTTACCGTTCAACAACAATGCTGTGAATGCATCTCTGATCTACTACGAAATGATCGTACAGGTGAATTGTCGCTTGAAGTAGTTCGTTTTGTTACTCGTTTATTAAAAACTCGTTCATATGCTGTGGAACCTTGTGTGCTGAATGTTTTTATTTCATTGAATATTCGTGAAATATCGCCGATTGAAGAGAAGAAAGAAGAGAAATCCTCGAAACCGGATTATCGTGCTCAAAAACTATCACGTCGTGATCGTCGTCAACATAAAGAAAAGCAAGAATTGAATAAAGTGCTCGAAAGTAAAACATTAGCTAACCGACAAGAACAACGCTTGAAAATCAATCGTCAAATAATCGAATTGATCTTCCTGAACTATTTCCGTTTGTTAAAACGTCGGTTAAATTTACGTTTGATGCCCAGCGTCTGTGAAGGCTTAGCTAAGTTTGCAAATTTGATCAATATCGAATACATGGACGATTTAATCACATGTTTCTATGATGAGTTATCCTCGGAACAAACTGGTTTAACAGCTCGTGCAAAATTTCATTGTTTAATCACCGTCTTTTCCATATTAAACCGCCAACAAGTATTAGTTCATATTGATCCTCAACGATTTTATGCTTTATTCTATTCTTTACTTTCACCATGTCCACCTGATCATGATATTGATCTAGTGATTAAATTACTTCAACTAATGTTAATCGATCGTTATAAACAATTGTCCAAGAATAAACTATTGGCATTTACTAAACGTTTATTAACGATGACGTTAGAATTACAACTAACAAAGTCAATCAATGCTGTTTTAGTGATGATTAAAGCTTTGCTAACGATATCACCGATGGTAACCGATCAATTATTTGATAACGAATTTTCAGGTTCGGGAATAAAATATTTGATGGACCTCAACGATCCAGAATATTGTAATTCGCAAAACGCGACACTGTACGAACTGGTATTATTAAAAACAAAATCGGATAAGCAAATTCGACAACAATGTCAAGAAATTCTCAGCGGAAAATTTCAAACGGATACACATGTGTTACGTTCATGTCAGGAGAACGCATTAGCATATCTTCAGTTGACCGAAAATCAACAACAAGACGAAAACTAAAACTCTACTGATTGTTGTTTGTTAGTTTTTCGTTGGTTTTTGTTATAAAGATTTGCTTTGAAAACGAACTTTCAACGGTCGATTTCAATGAAAACAAAACATATCATTCTCTCATTGTTGTCGATGGTTTTATTCTGGCACAAAGTTCTACGTCTATTCTCATATAGCATAGGTGATGTCTGATGTATAGAGTTGCCCATGTATATACGTGTCAACGACACGACGAACGATACCATTAAAAGGATAAAAGATACTTGATTTGTTATTTCATCTATTTTGTGGAGACGAAATAGTCTTCGAACCGTTGGCATTGTTCGGTGATGATGATGAGGAATCGAAATTTCAGCTTCTTTTCATCTCGGTAAGTGAGAAAATGATGTAAACAAAGAGATAGAATTTACTACCAATCAGAAAATTTTTTCGCGTCTTTCTTTCGTGAAATAGACAGAATGACTGACTTGCACATTCGTTTCGTTTGTTTACTTCTATGATCATGTCTACATCTACGAGCAAAAAACCGACTCGAGAATTAAGTTCAATCACGAATCATCTGCTTTTAACTAAAACTCTCAATTCACTCGTGAATGACTCTCAAACGTCAACAATAAAGGAAAACGTGTCCAAATCAACTGACAATACTGTGAATTTACTAAATATTTATCATTTGCTTAGTAACAACAATCAAAATCAGTTATCATCAGTTACAGAAACTTCTTCGTCGTCTTCTTTTGTTAATCATAATCAGTTCAAGGAAAAACCTACAACAAAAAAGTAGATATCAATGAAACTGTACATGTTTTTCTCTTCTATTTCAATTAGTTCGTCATCGGAGTCAACATCTATGATATATTTATGTCGATTTTATCAACGAAATCGTTTGATCGAAGTGCCATTTACCAGTGAACAGCAGGGCATCTCACATGATAATTTGAAACACTTAATCAGTATGGAAATGATCTCTCTTGTAATTCACCTATTTGTTTTTAGTTCAAGAATTTCAGTTGAATCAAATACCAAAAGCAAAATTAATCGTTCAAATATGGAATGATCAATACCAAGACTATATCGATATCGAATCATTCAAGCAAATACCTTCGGAAGGTCGTTTACAAGTTTTTATGTAAGATGTTCTTCACTGTCTTCTCTTAATACCAGACTTGCGATCTAATGTTCCTTGTTTTTCCTGTTTTCTTAATTACTAACTGGTTATCTCAGTCAGAATCTATCTCGAAGCGTTTATGAGTGTTTAATTAAATCCATTTAAAGCTGACAAATAGTTTAATATAAACGTAGCATCTAATGTCTTGTTCATTGGATTACCTGTCACTCACGCCGTGCATATAGCCTTATTCGTTTGATATAAACAGAAAATGACATGTTTGACAAGTGGTTTAGAAAAGCAGATGTTATTAGTAGAATCTATTTGTGGAATTCTTAAGTGCAAACGGAAAAAAACACAACTCCATTGAATGTTTGATCATTTAGTGAAAAGGATATCAATTCAATTGAAAATTTAGCGAACTCGAAAAGTCCATCGGCGCTCATCTCCTCTCAAACCATCACAACAACCGCGGTAGCGACTGGACGTTCAACTACACCTAATCCAACTCAAACAACAATGGATGTTGTTTCAACCCCAACCGTGCCCAATCGTTCGACACACATACATGACGAAGTGGACTGCTCACCACAAGTTAATCCTAAGAATGATCACGACTCGTTGAATAAGTAAATCGAACTGATGGAATCCGCTTGACAAACAATGATTGCAATCTTTTAGTTCATCAGCCAGTCAACTCTACGATCATCCATGTCATCATCTCATGTACGATCTCTTACCAAAGCCGACGGATGGTATACCAATTCCGCGTTTTCCACCGCATATTGCGGCTTTTCTGAATGGAAACGGTGATGCGAATCAATTGAACGCCGTTGTCCAAGTTCTCTATCAAGAAATCGTCAAATACGAACTGTAAATCGAGCCCTGTTCACTTCGTTTTCTATTCGCAATTGTTTAGGTATCCAAATGCTGATGAACTTCGTTCCATCGTTAGTCGTCTCGTTGATCGTTATCCTCAATGTATATCCGTGATTGGTAGTATCGAGCTGTTAGTTCGAAAACTATACTATAAATTTTGTAATGAACGAAAAAAGTATCCTATGGAATTGAAACGTCGTCAGCCGAATAAAAGAAAACGTCTGACACGTGAAGAAGACTTGGGAACGAATATTTCCAATCATCAGACTTTATGTTCGTCAGAAGAACGTCGAGAGAATGATTCAAATCATGTTTGGTTAGATTATCTCAAACACATGTGGACAGCTTCAACAACGGACGAAAAAGATAATCTTCAACAACAGCAACATTCAGCATCATCATCGACATCGTCATCACCTGTCTCTACTAATGTCGAACAAACGCAAAAGTATCATCCAGTCAATTTATCAATCTCAATGAATAATAATCTTCTGTGCACGGAATAAATGAACGTTATTTATTTCTGATGAAAACAAATCTTTTTTTTTCTTTCTTGTGAAATCAGTTTCTCTTCTGTATCTAAATTCATTCATTATAATAGATTTATATGATTATTTTCTTTCTTAATCGAGCTAAAACTAATCTCATTACTCACTTCTTTCAGTTAATGGAACCAACTCTCAGGTAGACATCGATCATGTTATCAAACCCTTCGAACAGATGAGAAAAACAAGACGTACCCATACATCATCATCTTCAATTTTCCTCCATATGTTTTCGCATAGACACCTGCATCTGTCAAGCACAGACCGACCTATACACTAGTTGACCCAATTAATAAGAAATTCTCATTATCATCAGACCTGTCGTTCCTTGTCACCTCGATGAATTCAAATAAATATCCTGCAATTCTGCTAAATAATATAGATTTCCCTTTTGATTCGTCACTGTTCTCATTGAAGACGTCTTTTTTCCATAAATTCCAATGCACATTAATTAAGCGCCAGTTTTTATGTCGTTTGATTTCTAACTCAGATTACCTTCTGTTGTTACACCGGAAATGAATGTCGATTCAGTGTGAAAGTTTTCCTAAATATACTTTTCCTGGCAATTTTGAAATTTTATTTTCATTTCGTCATTTATTTCTTATTCGGAAACTTTATATCCAATTCTTTCGTATACACGAAGATAATCTTTCATAATGCAGATAGATAGCTAAGATTACACGAGATTTCTCTCTACAATGGAAAGAATAGTCGTGCACAGTGCGTAAAGAATTGAGTTTTGAAATTCTAAACGAAAGATATATGAATAGCGTGTAATAAGAGAATATTATTGTATTATAGATAAACTCAATTATTTTCCCTTTCATAAATATAATAAGTGCATTAATTTTTATGATTTTTTATTTATAGATAAATTTCTTCTGTTCAGTTGATCTGTTACTTCTGTTTTATTTCTTTTTTTTTTCTTCCTATTTTCTCAACTTGTTCGCTGGTACTGATCAACAGACATCATCATCTTATCGACCTAGAATATTGAAATTGATTAGTGAATATTACATTCATCCTACTTATGTCGTTCACAGTTTTCCTTTTTTCTCTCTCTCTCTTTATTTCTTTAATATTTTATTACCCTCATTACTACGAGCTTATATATATTAATCTGTTCTCATAATGTTTTCTTTTTCAGAAACATAAAGATCTACTGAACTGTATAGGACATTTACATTTAAGAAAATGAATACTACTAATATCACGACGTACGTTTTCAGTAACACCACATTTCTTCCGACCAGACACCTTGCATATCAATGTCCAGACCAACGCGCTATAACTCGTCCCTTGCTCTTTGTTCATAATTATTCGTTGTTTGTATTCGGTTCGATCTTGAACATTCTGGCGTTCTTCATTCTCATGCAAGGTTCTCTTCGTTGCCATTCAACATTCGCCTATCTGGCATTTTTGTCTTTGTCCAATGGCTTATCATCATTAGTGCGTTTTACTCGATGGATGTTTTCATACTATTTAAATATTCAAGCCGATCATTATCTTTATACGTGTCGTCTTTCACATTTTTCATTGGATTTTCTGACACATTTTAGTCTTTTAACGTTAGTGTGTGTGAATATCGATCGTGCTCAAACAGTTACACGAAATCGGCCGAATACAAAATTCTCCAGTTCGACATTCCGGCGAGTGTTAATCAAAGAATTATTGATTGCTGTTGTTTTAAGTGCCTATCATTTCCACTGGCTGGTGAAATTTGGATACGAAGGTAATGTTTAGTATACCTATCTAAATAGTATGACAGTTTCTCTCGCTAAACTTTCATATTAGTTCTAAATGCTTTCTTTTTTCTTCTTTTGTATCTAGTTAATGATGGCAAAATGAAAGAAATCATATGTAACTATGAAAAAAAACGTACATCTCGAATCTATTTCTATTTCCTGTCGGTTCTCTACCGTCGAATTGAACTTTTTGTCTTTTTCTGTTTTCCACTGTTTATCAACATTCTTTGTACGATACTGATCGTTCGTAGTTTACGTCTACGCATGCGCACAGCGAAACGTTTCAATCCCTATCGTCGCACTGTTCGTCATTCGAAGCAAAGTCAATTTTTAAAACGAATCCAACAAGTATTTTCATGTCTCGTACCACGTACAACCACAAAATCCAATATTTACTCATGTTTTGGCTTTCGAATTCAATGTCGACGTCATACTGAATTACGTCTGAAATTCGCTCGAAAAGAACCACAATTACTTAGACAGGAAGATGAAAATGATTCCAGCGATCGACAACAATCACTTTCCTTGAACAATGATTTACTTTCGGACATGCAGCAAATAACAACCATGACGGCAACAATATTGAATAAAACTCATCGATCAAGACGTACTCGTGATATTCACTTATCTGCTATGTTGATTGTACTAAATATTCTCTATTTAATTTTTAATTTGCCATTCAATCTCTATCAGAATTTCGTCAGCGACACGCACAAGAACCCCCGCGATGCG